CATGTTGGGAAGCTCACCAATTCTTAGAATGCCAGACTTCAACAAACCATTTATTGTTCAAGCTAATGCTTCAGACATTGGGCAGTACTCTTACACGAACATGAAGATGGACTGCTTCCAATAACATATATAAGTAAAAGGTTTTTGAATAATGAGAAGAACTACTCAGTGATTGAATGAGTTTTTGGCTATTATATTTGCCATTCTGAAATTCCAGAACTATCTATATGGGAAGGAGTTCATCATCCAGACAGACCATCAACCACTTGCATACATCAGAGGTGCAAGATCGACAGTGCAAGGATCATGAGGTGGGCATTGCATCTTCAGAACTACAGGTTCCCATTGAGGCTATCAAAGGGACTGGAAATATTGGAGTAGACTTTGTTTGAACTAACAACAGTCTTTGTATATAGTAAAAAAAAAATTATTGTAAATATTTTATCTTGAAGAGGGGTTTGTGTCATGATATAAAAGATTGTTTGGTTTAAATATTAGCGATTAATTTATATTTGTGAGTGAATATTTTTATTATTTTTTAAGTTTTGTTATTATAAGAGTTAAAAGCAGATGATTGTAGAAGGTTCTGTTAATAACTAATTGGTGTCGAGAATATAGAAAGTGGCCAGATGACTATGTAATAAAGATATAAATAGTGTGAGGAAGCAGTAGACAGAGAGCAACAGACATATAATAGCAAAAGAGAATATAGTTGTGTGAAATTAAGTACTGCAATGGTGATAGGCCTAACGTTTAATATGTTAGAGTGAAATTAACAGTATAAAAAAAGATAAGAAGGATAATTTTATCCCATCAAAGCGTGGTTCTAAAGTAATTGAATCAGCCTGGGTACACTTTGACAAAAGGAACAGAGGATCTTCAGAACAAAGACCAAACGAATTATGGTAACTTGCACCACAACTGTAAGTAAATCACACATAGAATACTAGTACGATAGTAATATAGAGAAGATAGTTTGACTTGTAAACTGAAATTTTAACTTGTTCCAAATATATATTTATATTATTTGAAAACAAGTGTGTGCTGTTTATTCATCATTGAATTTATCACTAATAAGTCACAGACACCTACTGTAGAATAATCCTAAGTCCAACAACAACTTAGTATATATTTATGCTATTAAGAAATATAAGTAAAAGCCATTTATTTCAACAATTGGCAAACAGTATTTTATATCACAACACAGGGAAATGTTTAGCCAGGAAACTTGCTTCTAGGAAGTTTATTTACATCACCTACATGATGCTTGATGTTCTGACTCCAGTGATGATTCTGTCCCATCAGTTTCAAAGAAAGATCTTAATCCTTCCGTGGTACAGATACATTTGATGCTGGTGTATTTGTTCTGCAGAATCTGAGATGTTGATCAATTAGAAGGAACTTACCTGCATACTTTGCAGACAGATCTTGATAACCAGAACAGCATCTACAAGAGATTGAAAATTACAATGGAAAAGTCAATCTCATCCTTGATGTATGTCTGAATTCAAGATTCCCACAACTTGACATTCTCAGTAGTCTTGGAATGAGGCCTTTACCCTTTTTAGGCAGAGATATGCTGGAGAGTTGGGTGTGTGAAAATATCAAGATTCTAATTAATCACTATAGAATAGCCAAGGAATATTCATGGGTAGATGATGGTTGTGAAAAACAGGAGAACAACATCAGAGCCTTACATCCAAGCTTGAATGGCAGCATTGCAAGTGAAATGTTCCCCACTGACAACATGAATGCATTGTGGAAACTGATCATTAAGTACCACAGGAAAGACTTCCCAAATCTCATCAGATTAGATGATTTGGGTTTGACATGTCCCACCAACATTACAGACTGTGAACAATCCTTCAGTGTACAGAATTACATCACTACAAACTGGAGGGCTGCAATCTCACCAGATAAATGTGACACTCTTACGAGTTTATGTGACTTCTCATACACAGCCAAAATTTGATAGCAGAAAAGAAACGGGGTGATCTCAAAAAAGTAAACAAGTAAATTATCAGACCTATTCTTCTTCTTAAAGTTATTCTCATCAATTAATGCTGTTGATAAACACCATAAAACTGACTGAGGGATAGTTCAGTGTTCATATTTATTTACTGAGCATGTGCAAACTTTGAAATAAAGCATTCTTGAGACTGATTACTGTGATATATATTGTGCAGATTTGTCTGCCTTGTGATCATGATACTGGAGTGACAAAACTTCCCTGCAAGATACAGTGCATAGAAGTTAACATAATATAATATGGTTAAAACATAAAGGTATTTGGTTTGTTGGTTTTAACATCCTTACTTTCAGAGACTGTAATAATTGATTTTTTTTCACAATTTTGACAGTGACCTGCAGTTTTAAAAAATAACCCCTTACTTTTGTAACTGAGGGGTCATCCATGATATTTTTTTTATAATCTGGAGTACTGTACAGTCTAAGAAATTTCATCAACATGCAAGGAGGAAAGATGCAGCAGAAAATCACTCAAGATGCCAATAAAGATTGAGGGAAAAAAAAGTTCTTTACTGTGAGAAACTGCTGTTAAACAAAAATAAAAAGACAAAAAATGGAGACAAAAAAAAGATCTGGCTGAGAAACTGTGAAAAAAAGATTAATAGGAGAGGGAAGGAAATGTCAGTGAAATGGAAGCTTTTAAAAATTACTAGAAATACCATACAGCAGACTAAATAAGGCTCTTAACTCTAGAAATGCTAGATAAATGAAAGATACCTAAATTTTAATAGTGAAAACTGTCAAATTGACAGCTCTAGCCATTATGTTAAATCTAAATACTTCAATGAACTCAAGATTGTGCAAGACTTACTTGAAGTTGCAAATAAGAAGCTTAATGATGTCGAAAAGATTGATGCAGACTTTAGAAAACCAAAGGGAGAAGAATTTTAGATGAATATTCCAAAATTTTAAGAACAAGAGGTAATTTGCATTTAATTAAAAATTGTAACTATAGTCAATGCTAATTTCCTTTTGCCAAGTATTTAAAAAAATACTCATTTCTTGTTAAGAATTACTTTAATAAATGAGGTATTTAAAAGTTTGACTGGTAGCTAGAAATCCTATGAAACACTTCATATTGGTTTCATTTGATTTCTTAGCTTACATAATGCAGCTGTGCCTAGCTACTGTTTACTGTGATGTATACCATTAAGTAGGATTCAAATCTTAAAACTGCTTGTAGGTGATTTTAATATTATCAGATATAACTAATGCTAAGATATATTGTTTTATTAGTTTTTAGGTGCACCTTAGCTTGTGTTACACCAGTGCATTGTATTTAGCAGGATTTAAGTCTCATAATTGCTTTTAGTTGACTTCATTGTATATTGTATGATATAATTATGCTTGTACTTTCTTTGGTATTGTAGTTGTAGAAATAATCAGTAGCAGTTTTAAAGATATGATCTCTGCTTAATGTTTAACAATAAAAACTTTGACTGTACGTTTGCAGTAACGTGTCTGTGAAACGGTTAATGTTTGGTGATTTAAAATAAATTTCTAAGTACAAGGTAGATGCTTGAGTCAAGATACTGGTCATCATTAGAAAAAAATCAGATATGGTCAATACAGAAAGTATGGAACAACTAGAAAATTATATAGGTAAGTAAGGATGATGTGGTCACTTTTTATACTTTGGTGAGTTTTCATCTTTTGCCATTACTGATAGTTTTCAAGGTGAGGCCTATTTTTGCTATCTTTTAATTGTACGTATATAAAAGTTTGTGCATAAGCTATGTTTTAAACTACAAAAATATAATGGAATCAGCTTGTGATTTTTGACTGTTTTTTGGTACCTGCTTATAATCATGTACATGCTTTTGTGACACCTTGTGCCCTACCTTTTTGTGTTACTCTGGTAAAAACCTGACAGTGTCTTTTGACAGGGTTGATCTTATTTCAGTTAAAGTAATCTGTACCTATCTTTGAGACAGATGGTTTTAATTTGATCTTGGAGAATATGTAAAATTGTCTGTGGTATGGTTGGTTGGTTTTCAGTCTTAAATAATAATCTACATGTCCACATTTCTGGTGATGGAGAATAAGCAATTTTTTTTACCTGCGAGTAAGAATGGTTTCATTTTTCTAGAAAATTCTAATGATAAAGGATAGATAAGAAAATAGGCAAAGTTTTAAAACATACCTGTATATGAGCTAGCAAAGTTTGGAAACATATTAGCTCTGGTGTTTATCAAAGTTCATTTACTGGTTTTCACACATTTTCCCTGTTATCATTTAAGTCTCATCAAGAGTTCCTTAAAAATATTTGTGATTGTATCAAAAATTTACTATTCCACAATAATGTTATTTATAATTACTGTAGATTTTTGCTGAACAATGAAATGTGTGTATTATGAAAAGTTCAATAAATATGTTGTTATTCATCACTTCTGTGGTTTTATTGTTCACCATGAATAGTTTGTTTGTTTTTGTTTTTGAATTTCGCGCAAAG